CTGTACCCAGCCAATTGCCATTAATTTAAAAAAATCTGTTCATTTATTTTTTAATAGTTTTTTAAAAATATTTATTTTTTAGGTGTAGATGGACACAACACAATGCCTTTTTTAATATGGTGCTGAGGATCGAACCTGGGTCCTGCTGGTGCTAGGCAAGTGCTCTACCGCTGAGCCACAATCCCAGCCCCCACCCCCACCCCCGCGAACAATTTTTTTAAAAATTGTACACAGACACAATATCTTTATATATTTATTTATTTTTATGTGGTACTGAGGATCGAACCCAGGGCCTTACATGTGCTAGGCAAACATTCTACCACTGAGCCCCAGCCCCATCACCATTAGTTTTAAGTTGATGAAGTGCTTAGTGAACAGCAGACCTCTCCTCTCCACTCTCCGCAGTGATGTTGTGCTGTTTTTCTTCTACATCCAGTTTGGTCAACAAATTTGTTGATTCTAGGGGCTGGGGTTGTGGCTCAGTGGTAGAGCGCTCGCCTAGCACATGCAAGGCCCTGAGTTCAATCCTTAGCACCCACATAAAAATAAACAAAATAAAGGTATAAAAAATTGTTGATTCTATCTATCTTCTTAATAAATATCTCCTCGATTACCATCTTCTCTCCATGCTTATTCCCCCCAAATCCATTCTTCACCACCAGAGGAAAGCACTTCCCTCTGGTGAAAAGTGTGCCATTTCCCTGTGCTGAAATTAGTTTTTCATCTCCCTGAAGCTCACTGGTTGGAAGAGACTCTGAAAGGCAAGGCTCCCCAAACTGCAGATCTTGCTAAGCTACTTTGTCACTGAAAACTGCTAAGATGCTGCCTCCTATTGCTCTTAGTGCAAACTCCCTCCCTGCCCAGTTGGTAAGGGCCCTCATCCTAGTCCCTGCCTCCCTCCTCAGCTTGTGTGTGTGTGTGTGTGTGTGTGTGTGTGTGTGTGTGTGAGAGAGAGAGAGAGAGAGAGAGAGAATGTGTAGGTATGGGGGAAGGTACCAGGGATTGAACCCAGGGACACTCCCGTTGACCTTCATCCCCAGCCCTTTTTAATTTTTTTAAATTTTGAACCAGGTTCTCACTAAGTTCCCTAGACCAGCAGCAAACTTGTGATCCTCCTGACTCAGCATATTGAGTTGCTGAGATCACAGATATTCACTACTGTGCTCAGTTCCCACAGCCCTTTCTGAGCCATTGTCTCCCCAGCCTTGCAGTGCAGCTACACAGGGATCCTTCTGGTTTCTTGAACAGAATGTGCTGTCTACTCCATTTGCACCTGTGCACAGGTAGTGTCCTGCTGTTTAACCTCACTTACTGGCCCTTTGCATGTCAGCCTAAATGCCATCCCATCCCAGAGGAGTTCTCTGGCTGCCCATCACGCCCTGGGCATTCCTGATCACATCACTCACTGTGCTTCTGTGGCAGTCTGCCCTCCCAGCACATCTGGCAGTCCACAGAGGCCCAAAACATAATGTCTAGTCTTCTGCTGAATTCCAGCTTGAACACAGAGGTTGGCATCCTGAGAGCGCTTGAACAAGGAATGAGGCCATGACGCTGGTGGTGCTGCACACCACCTCCCCATTGCATCCGTCTTGCCAGGTACCCTGCCCCAGAGTCAGTGCTTCAGCCCTTCGTGAGCTCTTACTTATATCTGTTCTTTTCACTCTAGGGTTTCTGCAAAAATCCTCTGGAAGGATCACATCTCCCACAACTGCCTCCATAAGAATTTTTTATTATTATTTAGAAATGCAGTTATATACATAGAACAATTAAAATTAAATTAAACTTTGTACAAATATTAAAATACTATCTTCACACCCACTGCAATGTACAGGATACCAAAAAAATATATATATAAAATAAAATAAAGCAAACCCAAACTGATTGAGTGACATCCTGCACAGAGTTGATTATGCATGTGTTGTTTTAAACCATTACAAGAGTACCATTCTGCAAAGGATCCCAGAGTGGCGCAACAATTTTAAGAAGCCAGGGCAGGTGTGGGCACTGCCATACAACCCAAAACCATCTCGCCTCCCTGCTTGGCAATCCAAGTGCTTTGCCCTGCAGCCCCTCTGGCAACTCTGCTGCTTGGCAGAGGGCTCAACACTGGGGTTTTTGTTCAAAATTCTACTAGGGTTCCAAATGGAAGTTAAAGAGTCACTCTCCAGCAAAGCCGGGCCTGCCACCTTTCCCTCTAGCAAACCAGCTACCATACCACTCAGTCCAAACATCTGTTGAGAAAAACATTCTGCAAGCCCCGCAGGAGGCCTAGCAGGCCCCACAGGCTCACAAGAAGGTCTTAGCCTTGCTGTCCTTGGCATGTGAACCTGGAATTCAGCTGTGAAGCCTGTATGTCACTTCCCTTCCAGCCCCTTTTTGCTCTTTGAGAAGGGGGGAGAAAAAAAAAAAATCTAGAAATGTTTGCAGCATATTCCATTCTCTATGAAAGGATGTTCCCCAGAAATGGAAGCAACATTGTTATGTAGGAAGCAAGTGGTTTGAGCACTCGGTGGGTATTGGGAGGAAAAGGGCAAGTGCCATCTATCCCCATGCCACCACTCATGAAGCAGGAATCATATACCTTTGTCTTTCTTGCCATCTGGTTTCTCCACAGAACTTTAAAGCTGGGGCTGGGAGGAGGAGGGCAAGTTGAATGGGGAAGACAATCTTAGTTTAAGTTCTGTTTGCATACGGAGTGCTTGCAGAATGTACATTGAAATGCGTTATAAAACCAAACTCACAGAGTGGCCAGGACTCGGCCCATTTCACAGTTCACATCCAGTGAAACAGGAACACAGCACACGAAATACAGAAATGGCAAAAGACAGAGCCTACCTGCTAAACTAAGGCATGGAAGGGACGGAAATTTTAAATGATTTTCACCATGTTCTGGCTCTTGAAAGTTGCTAAAATGTGACTGCAAGTCACCAGGATATAAAACCTGCACTGAGTCAGTCAAGTGTGCAAACAAAACAAAACAAAAATAAGTCCTTTGGTGCTGACCATTTCTCCTGCACAAGTCTGCAGGACTCCCCTAGAGATGAGCTCGGGAAAGCAGGGCTGTGGCTGTTTCTTTCTTCCCATCTGCTCCAGGCTCTCGGCAGCCTCTTTCCTAACAGCCTGCCACGTGACACTGGCCCTGTTTCTAGCCAGGCCCCACCTCAAGGCAGCTGTGGAGTCCCCAACCCCCTTAACAAGGGACAAAGCCCAGAAGCCCCAGGAACAGTAGCACATGGCTGATGGTTAAGATTTGCTTTGGGGGAAAGAGAAATCTAACTGTAGAAAGAAACTGATCCAGACATCAGCAGCAAGACAGGCTGAGCCGCAATGCCTGCACAAGCCCAGGAGCCTCAGGAGAGAGACTCCTCAGACCTGAGGAGGGGGTGGGCCCACTTGTTCAGGCTTCTTACTTTCCTACCAGGCAGACAAGCCTGGGCTTGTGATCCCCAGAGCGGTGTCAAAGCATGGCGAGAGGGAAGGCGGCATTAGGAGAAGGAAGGCTGTTCATTTTACTAAGGGCCACGCCAGTCACTTAGGTGGCTGAATAAACCCCAAACAAAAAGTGCAATCTCTCAAGGGGCAAAAACCCAGAGTAACCAGATAGAAAAGGGTAGGATCTTCTATTTAAAAAATATTCTAGAATAGAATCCAGGTTTTGGAAGAGTGGAAAATAAAAGCTAAAGGCTCCACAGTGAGACTTCAGCCCCCTCCTACTCACTTCCCCCTGCTCTGTCCTGGAAGAAGACAAGGACGGCACTGTGGACGCAAGGGAGCCGGGGTCTGTAATGCAGCTGAGGGCCTCAGGACCCCTGGGAAAGGGGGGCATGCCAGCAACTCCTGGGAGGTGTGTCTCATCTCCCTCAGGCTTCAGCCTTCTAGTTCTAGCACCTTCTCCACCTCATTCCCAGCTGACTACACTTGCCTGGACTCTAGGCAGCAGCTGGTGCTCCTGGGTAGGGGACATGTGGGAGTGGCCAGCAGGCACTGCCCTAACCCTGAGAGGAAGGAAGACGAGGGGTGGCAGGAGGCCGGGAGTGACCACGACCAGGGAGTAAAGTGCGTTGTGAAAGTGGAGGCAGAGGGGTGGTGGGCTGGGAGGCAGCTGTGCCTCTGTTCAAGGACACCCACACCTGGAGCTAACCCTGTTAAGTCAGGTACTGAAAATGCACTGGACCTTTTAATATTTTCACTACCCCAGAGGTCAGGGGAGGAGCAGAGGTACAGCACAGGGTCAGCTTGAAAGTTTCCCAGCCCCAGTGCTTCAGAGGGGGAAAAAAAAAAAAAAAAAAAAGCAAAAGCAAACATTCCTTAATGCCACATCTATCTTCTGAAGATGGTAGCAGCCAGTTGGAGCTCATCCGCCCAGCCTTGTTAGCATTCAATATGGGGGGGGGAAGGGGGACCCTGGAAGCAGTGGCTGGAACACTCCCCCACCGCCCCATTTTCAAGGGCCTACACCCAGGCTTCAGTCTAAAGGGGCCCTGGGAGCCAAGCAACTGGGCACTTGCTGGCCTACCTTAGCCAGTTAGGCCAGGGGATGCTGCGAACCATTTCTCAGCCCTTCCCTAGGGTATAGAGAAGACAAGGTGTGGCTTGTCAATCAGGATTTGTGTAGGGGTGCAGGAAAGGGCAGAAGTAGGAAAAGCAGTGGTGCAGCAGGAACAGGCCACTTCCTGGGCACAGTTACTAAGGCACGTGACCGTGGTGAGGAGGATCCTCAGGATTGGGCTGGAGCTGCCTGCAGCCACCGGGGACTTGGTCTGTGCCTCCTGGCCTCCCCTCCATCACCACAAACTCATAAAGGGGCAACTTGCCCAGACTGCCAGTGACCAGATGAGCATTTGATGGCATCTCAGCAACTCTCCTGCCCTAGACATGATGTGCCTCAGGCCCCTGTGGGCATCCAGGAAGCCAGAGCTGCCTGAGATAAAGCCCAGGAGGCAGCATGCAACTTCCCCTTATCCAGGGAGGCAGAAAAGCAGTGGCCCAAGCAGTTGATCTGGAAGCAGGAAGTGAGAACTTGCATATTAGGAAGATGATCATTATCAGTCACCTTCCTTCTCTCCCTCAAGATCTTCTGGATGTTTCTGGAAACTCTCAACTTGACAGAGTGAGGAGGCTGCACCTGAGCTGGACAACTGGGTGCCGGGACAGCTTTGGCATAATTTTCCAAATCTTCCATTTTCAGTCAAGGAAATGTGCCACCAGTGTCAGCTCAAGGCAAGCCCAGGCACCCACACTCCTGCCCCAGCGAGAGCCACTCCTACCTTGAGAGCTCACTCTTGGATCTGCTCCTGCAAGGGGCACCAATGCTAGCCCCAGGCCCAGGCCCTGTGTGCAAGGGCAGCAGCCATTAAGGCCTGTAGACAGCAACATGCCTGCATGATAGGAAACTGAAGGGGTGAGGGAAGGCACAAGTAAACACGGTGGCACTCAGGCCCACAAGGACTGTGGGGGCTGCCACCAGAGAGCTGGCTGGAAGGGACCCAAAAGCTTAGGAAAAGGGAGAGTTCGATCCAGCACATTCAAATATGTCCCCGACAGATGGGAAGGCTGAGCCGGGCAAAAAGCCAGCTCCTCCAGCTGTCCAGGCAGATGGCGAGAATCTTCCTTGAGTTTCCAGCGAGGTGGCCTACAGGCCTTCAGAGACACACAGATACACAGGTGGCAGCTCAGGTGTCCAGGTGGGGTGGCTGGAGAGTACAGGGTGCTCAGACCCAGTGGGAGAGGGAAGAAGGGCAGAGAGGACCCTTGCAGAAAAGGAGAAAGGCTGCTGGTAGCCCTCATGCTTCTTTTAACAGTGGGATATCTGCAGGAAGACAAGGAGGGGAAGGACAGTGGTTATCCCAAGGGAGTTTCTCCACAGCACTCGTGACCCCATCTCCATGCTCCCATATAGCCCCTGGTTTAAAGACATGTCCTACTCAGACACTTTAAGATAGTCAAAAATCCCCAGCTTCTTTTATAAGCCTTTCTGGCTCATCCCTCCTACTGCCCAATAAACTGAACATTCAGCCTGGTATTCAAATCCCTTCTGGGTCCAACAATTTGAACCTACTCTCTGCCTTTGCTCTGCTGCTCTAGTCATTTCCATTTCTCTCCTAAACCCTCCCTCCACAAAGTTTTGCTTAATTCTCATCTCCTCCTAAAGCCACCTGCCAACTGTGACCTTGGACAGTCACCCCTCTCTGGGTTTTGGTCTTCTCATATTATCAGTGGGAGGCAGTGTCAGGCCAGTGCCTGAGGTTCCGGACATCCTCTGACACCATCAGTCCTAGACAGCTCAGGCCTGGCCTGCCACAAACTCACTAACCTTCATGTTGTGTTTACTGATCCCCTCATTTCGATGAGAATCCTAAAATTCCTAGTTCCATTATTTTCCTAGTACAGGTCCCCACCATATTTTCCAACTGACTAACACTCCATCAACAGAGTGTGTTTTGTATTTCTTTGTTTTGCTTCAGAAATCTCATCCAGTACCAAGAGTAAGATGGGCTCTCAAAAATGCTTCTTCAATACTAAACAAAGAAAGGCTGCAAAGAAGGGCAGAGAGCAGGGCACCTCTTTGGCTCCTTAGAGTAAGGGATGCAATTTGCTCTTAGACACATCCCCTAAGACATGTGGTTGACTGTCCAGGGAGTCAATGTCCCCCTATCCAAACCTGGGTCAACTATTTGAGTCCCTTGCCATCTCTCTAGCCAACCAAGAAAAAAGAATGCAAGCTATTGATAGTTGGGAAACTGCAAACATGATATCAAAAACTTTTAACTTTTAGACACTCTACCCAGGATACCGAGGAGGTATGAAGTTTCCTCTCAGGCTCTCTGAGGAAGGCTTTATGAGTTCAGAGGGTATTGCCATTGAAAGGGAAACTTCTAGGCTTAGTCTGCATCCTGAACTATATTGGGATTTCCCTCAAAGTTATTTTATAAAGTGAAAGTCTCAAGCCCAAGGTTAAACTCTCTAGGCTCCAGCAAATGCAGAAATGTAAAGAAGCAGTAGTTTCACTTCCTAGATGGTTTGCTACAAAGGAGCTAGAGTTACTCGGGAGTTACCTGGGAGGCCGCATGGCATAGTAGTGTTAGAAACACAAGTTCTGGAGCCAAAGCCATCTGGTTTCAAATCCCAACTGTCATTTACCAATGGGCAAGTGACTTACCCTCCTTGTGCCTATTTACCCATCTGTAAACTTGGGATAATAATAAATATTTACTTCTCAGAATCACTGTAGGTTTAACTGAGATAGAACAAGGAAACTAAGAAGCACAGAACCAGGCATACTCTTTTTTTTTTTTGTGGGATTCTTTTGTTTTTGTCTTTTCTTTTGCAAGCACTTTGCTGCTTACATCCCAGCCCAAATACTCAGAATTAAGCTACTGTCTGCAATGGCCAAGTCTCCCTGTCATTCCTGACCTCTTGGGAACTTAAAAATTACAACAATAGGATAGCCCCCCACCCTGAACATCCACCTTTTCATTTAGCCCATCAACAACATTCTAGTCTATCAGCATTCACAGACAACAGTGACATGTCTCCAATCAGAAAGCTCAAAGTCCTCCCTGGTGTTCTGAGGATGAAATCCTATTTTGTAGGCTAAGGCCCTAGGTATTTTCTTTCCTTGCTGAAAATACACCAATGATTAGAGGCCTACAGTCCTTCCTCACTCCTAGCAAAGACTCTAAATAGCTAATAGTTCCCATTTAGCATACACTACCTACCATCTGTGTACTCCTCCGATGTGAGGGATAAAAGGCTTTGTATGTCACTATTCTCGGAATCTGCCGCTTCTTTGTGTGCCAGTCGGCTGCTCCCTGAGCCTGCTGCCCAAGAAGAGGTGGTTGCCTGATGCACCATCACAGTCTCTGAGCCCTGGGAGCCCCAGGCTTCACATAGTCCAGACTGGCCTGGGGTCTCATCCTCTCCACCTGCAGAGGAGCAGGCCCCTTGGCCCAGCGGCTGTGGATCCCTCGGCACATTCCTCCCACTAGGCCCAGACCCTTCTGACAGCACAATTTGCACTCTGGGGTCAGCGGGTGGCATGCAATGACCGGAACTGCCGTACACAGCTTCCTCATATGAAGGTAGTGCGACCTGGACTCCATCCACCATAATGGAGACCTGGTCCCCAGATACTCCCTGGTCACGCCTGGATTGAAGGAGAAAAAAAGAGAGAGAGAGAGAGAGAGAATCAGAACAAACACCCAGATAAGTAAATAAATACCACAATACCAACAAAAACCTCAAATTTTGAGCATTTACTATGTACCAGACATAGCATTATATGCTTTAGACATTTGGCAGGGGTGAGGTGTGGCTCAGTGGTAGAGCAGTTGCCTAGAATGTGTGAGGCCCTAGGCCCATCTCCACTACTGCCAAAAAACAAAAACAAAAACAAAAACACTCAAAAAAACCCCACTTTACCACACTGGATCCTCACTTAAGCTCTTAGGTAGTGGTCCACCAAGAATGCGGAAGAGGGCTGGGGATGTGGCTTAGTCATAAGCGCTTGCTCAGTGAGCACAGAGTGCTGAGTTCAACCCCCAGTACTGGGGGAAGGTGGGGTGGCACAGATGAGGCTCAGAAGTTAAGTATCTTGCCCAACAGTCAGAGAGAGACCTGAGACTTGAATCTAGTTTCACCCACTTTCAGAGATTGTGTTCTTAACCTGTGGATACACAGGCACCCAGACTTTTGTGCAAAAGCCAAGAGCCTAGAGACCTAGGAATAGAGCCAGCACAGCTAGGGTAAGAAAATAACAGAGTGATGGTAGCACATGTTGTAAAATACTAAAAAAAAAAAAGCTGTCAGAAAGAGGAATGGGAAGGGGGGAAGGATGGGGTGGGGGGAGAAAGGAGGAGAAAAAGAAAGAGAAGCACTATAGTCTTGAAATGAAAAACCAGCCTGGAAATCAGAAGAACAATCTTCTGACTCAATCACTCCCCACTCCTATTCTTTTTTTTTTTTTTTTTTAACTTTACAAACTTCACAAAACTTACCGGCTTGCTCCAAAAATGCACATCCCTCCCTTGGTGGGAAGAGAGCTCTGCCATACTCTAGACAAGTCATGCCTGCCCCAGCTGCTCCTGTTCTTCACCACCACAATAACCACTATCCCGACTTGCTTGGAAATCACTCCTTTGTTTTCTATTTTAATAGTTTTATTTGTCTAAATATGAACCTTTTATTATGAATCTTTCAGCACTAGTTATGCACATTTTTGCTCTTATATGAATGGGATACAGGGTGAATTTATGTGTTAGGTATGTCTCTGATTTCTTTAACTCAATTTATTCAGACACTTTTGCCATACACATACACATACGTTGTTTTGGAACCATCTGAAAGTAAGGCACATTATGTAGCATGTACCTCCTCAGCACCATTTCTCCTATGCAACTGCTGCAACAGCATATGCCAGAAATTTAACATCAGTGTAACGCTGTAATAAAGATTCCCCAGACTAGCCAAAAATACATCCATTTCAGCTGCAGTCCCTTTTGTTTTCATTCAGGACCCAATTAAGGATCATGCACTCCATTTAGCAGCCCTGTTCCTTTCATCTCCATTAATTTAGAATAGTCCATTACAGTTTTTCTTTTATGGAATTGATATCTTTTGAAGAATACAGGCCAGCTGTCTTGTGGGATGTCCCATAATCTGGATGTGTCTAACCATTTCTTCAAGATTGGATTCAGGCCAGTTTTTGCCAAGTTTTGCCACACAGGTGAGGCTCTGTCTCCTCAGCTCATCACACTACAATCTGCTGATCGACCAAACTAGTGTTGCTTCACTGTTGTTAGTAGCTCTCAAGTTTCTTACGTGAAATTGCAGATAAAATCCATGCTAATTCAAATAATGCACACCCTTAGGATTGAGAGAAGTGGCATCCTTAACAGTACTCAGAGGTTTTGGAAGGAAGAGAAACTTTGATGGCAAGGTGGATAGAAAACAGCGTGCATACTGGTGTGTGCTTGTCATTTGCTATTCTAAATAAATTTTTGTGGTTTAAAAAGAAATATGTATATAGTAAAAAGTTTAAATGGGGTCCATAATGAAAATCAAATCTCCTTTCTACTCAGGTCAGGAAAAAAAGAAGGGTGGTTATTTTAATAAGCTTAGTAGTTAAATATAGAGAAAAGAAAATTCCTTGACCTAAATGAAATGCATGCTAGATCAGTGTGACTTCAAGTGGAAATAGCTGATTCATTCAAGAAACAGTTCCCTTAAAATCCCCTATTCTATCTGGGTGTGGTGGCACATGCCTGTAATCCAGCAGCTTGGGAGGCTGAGACAGGAGGATCATGAGTTCGAATCGAGGTGCTAAACAACTCAGTGAGACCCTGTCTCTAAATAAAATACAAAATAGGGCTGGGGATGTGGTTCAGTGGTTGAGTGCCCCTGAGTTCAATCCCCAGTACAAAAAACAAACAAACAAAAAAAACAACTTTTAAAAATAACTGCTACCCCTCCCTCCAAAGCAAAATAAAAAGAAGAAAGAAAAAATCACATGCAGGACACAGAAACTAAATTTAACCAGATTGTTATCTGCAAGTTCCAAACCTAGAGTATTTCATAGACTGTGGTTTAGCTTGGCTCTTCTTGTCAGTGAATATGACAGTGACTGATGCAGTACTGAATGAACATAAAAGATGTATTCAAGAGGCAGTGAGGCACCTACAGGGGGTGACGAGCAACCTGGAGAGCTGCGACAGCCCACGGGGGAAAGTCTGCCATCAGGGATACATACATCAGGGCCCCACCACTGGCTGCCCCCAACCCCAACCACCTCCCCCATTCAGTCTGGCACGGATTATAGATAATGTACTATACTAGAAAAAGGAAAATGATGGAGGCAGACAAGAAACCTACTTGCTTGGTCTCTTATATAGTGCAATGCAGTGGTTCTCAAACTACAATAAAACCACTGAGAAGCTTTCTGTACATCAGGGTCCCATGCTAAACCAAATAAATCAGAATGTTTAGCAAGAGAGGTTTAGATACACCCGGGAGTAAAAGCCAAGAGTACAGAAAGTAGTAGCTGGCAAACATGGGTGTGCATCACTATCATCTGGAAGCCTTGGAAACCCCATCCCTGGGCCTTAGCGCCAGAGTGTCTCATTCAGTTAGTCTGGAGTGGGGCCTGGAAATATGCATTCCTAACAACCCCGTGATGATACTTCTGGAACCACACTCTGAGAGCTACTGAGGACAGGGAAATAACATGGCTTTGGAGCAGAACAGATTTAGGACCAACATCAGCTTTGCTCTCATCTAAAGGTATGACCTTGAACGAACAACTCAATCTCTCTGAGCCTCAGTTTCTTCCCTCAACTGCAATGTTCCTAGAGGACTGAGATAATATATGCAAAGCATCAAGCACAATGCCAGGCAAACCGGGGCCCTCCCCATCCATTTTCCTAGGACACACAGACCTGGTAAACCACAGCCTCCCAAGGCCAGTTAAGGCTAGCACCCATGGTGATGCTTGCTGCCTGCCCCAAAGCAGCACCAGAGGTGCTGGGCTCACCTGCTGTGATGGAAAGACTTCAGCTTTGGCTGCAGCAGCACAAACAGCACCACGAGGAGGAGAATGAGCGCCACGGAGCTGGCAGTGGAAGCCACTATAGACAGTGTGGGAACCCCGAGTGATGTGTGGGTTTCTTTGTCTATGAAAACAAGCCATTGTCAGAATCATTTTGTAGCCAGACACATAAAACATGAGCCCCAAAGCTGATACAGTCAAATGTCACCTGCAGAAAGTCATACAGAGTCATCCAGTGGCTGCACCTTTTCAAAAGGACAATGTGGATGGCCTATGTATGTATGGTGCTCCTGGAAAGGAAACATTTCCTTCTGTTTCCTGAATAATAAATTTCCCTCACTTCCAGCCTTTTCAATACATCTGATGCTAAGTTCACTTAACCCTGGAGATCTTACTTTTATAAACCACTCTGATCTTGCCTTCAGTAGTAGGTTGATGAACACCAACCATTAAAATGGGCATTATGTTCCAACTTATTGAGTCACCCATGTTCCCCTCCATGGCAGGGTAATTTAGAACTGAGCTGCAACAAGCCTCTACCATGAGGTCCCACAGCTCTGGCTCTAAATATCAGGCTGGTGCCCCCTCTTCTCTGGGTTGTCATGGGCCCCATGTGTTCTGGTCTAGAAGCCCATGTATAAAACACAAAGATGGCCATATGACACTCACTTCTCTTCAGGTGGCTGAATTTTCCTGTCATGCAAGAGAGAAGGAGGCAGGAGAAGAGAGGGGGCATCCATCTAGCTGGACTATAGCTCCATAACAAAAACAGTCCATTTCCATTCAAGGAAAAATGAGAGCCACTGGAGAAGGTGTTAGCATTGCGCTCACTGTGCTAGCACAACATGGTCAAAGGTCACCAGCACTTGGCTAGGCAAACAAGAGATCCTAAACATCAAAGGAGCTTTACATAGCAGGGTAGATGCCTCAGTAAAGATAGGGAGCCCACTGGTGACTCAGTGGAATCTAATGGACATGCACCAGCAACCCCAATGTTTTCCACAAAGACATGAAATCCCAAAGGAAGGGAAGCTGCAAGGCATCAAGCAGAGCTGTGCTGCAGCACAGCCAAAGGCTCTCTGAAGGCAGAAGGTGCCACTTCCCAGGAGCTGAAAGAAAACAGAGGCCCAGAATACCCCCTTCTCCTCTGCAGACTGACCCTCGTTGAGGTGGCAGCTAATCTCCATGGCTGGCTTCCACTCGCCATTCTTACACGTCAGGTATTTGTAGTCACCCTTCAACATGTAGCCTTCTGCACAGAGGTACTCGATGACACTGCCTGCTGTCAAGGGGTCTCTGCAGGGCCGGGGGTGGCATATGTAGCCACCATTCTCTGGCTCCGGGGGCAGGGGACACACTGCAAAGACAGAGAGAGCAGTGAAGCTTTCAGGGGGTGTCTCCACTTGATGACACAGCTCTGAGGGCCTCAACAGGAACCCTGGAATTTAGGTCGCCACTGACAGGGAAGTCTGTCTGTTCGCAACATTTCCCTCTCCCTCCCCACTGTCTTCAGGGAACTGTATCCATAACTCCACAGGAGATACTGCTTTTTTTTTTTGTACTAGGTATTTAACCCAGATGGTGCTTTACCACTGAGTTACATCCCCAGTCCTTGTAATTCTTTATTTTGAGACAAGGTCTCAGAAAGTTTCTGTGGCTGACTTCAAACCTACCAGCCTCTTTAGTGGCTGGGATTACAGGTCTGAACCACCTTGTCTGGCTCCAATCCTTTTTTATTTTTTATCTCACTATATTGCCCAGGCTAGCCTTAAAACTGAGGCCCTCCTGCCTCATTCTCCCAAGATGCTGCGATTACAGGCACGTGCCACCACTCTCAGTTTGAAACATGGTTCTGACTCAGAGTGAGAGGAGATTCAATACTGTTAGCCCACGGGGGCAACGTTAGCCTTGTTTCTGACATCAATGTCAGAAAGAACTTGGAGGAATAAGAAGAATGCTTTGGCTTCTGAGGGAATTTCTGATTAATTTCTTGGGAGGCTTCCCAAGCCCTGTGCATCTTCCATGCTCTGGTATCACTTGTCTCTATCCCATAGTTATGTCCCATATTTTTCTGTCCACACAACAATCTAGTTTTAAAAGCTCCTTCACCTCCTGTCTTATTTGTTTAGCCTCACAACTGTAGTAGATATCATTTCTCTGCTTTGAAGATAAGAACAATAAGGCCCACAAAAATGAAGTGACTTTTAGCCAAACTCAAGGCAGGGTGAAGGCAGACTTGGGAGCAGAGTCAGGTCCTCTGATTCTGAACCTGAGTTCTTTCCACCAGCAGATCCTACTCTTGACCCAGGAGCAGAGTAGCGTGTAAGGGGGGTATGTGTCAAGGTCACCTTCCTTTCACCCCTTCAAACTTGTCAGTTAAGGAGATGGCAAGTGGAGCCTACCTGTGGTGGTACCCTGGCCTAGATAAGCTGTAGAAATAACTTAAGAGGACCTAGAAGGTTTGAGTAGCCTGCAGGAAGAAGAGGGTGATCTCTCATTCTCCTGGGGACAGACTGCAAAACTGAAGCTCCACACAGTACATTGGACGCTAGGGCCAACAAAATGAGAGGGGCCCAATGAGGACACTAAGAGATCAATGTTTGGAAGGGTGGGCTGTGGGAAGGCAGGATGGCCAGGCACCCATGAACTTCAACTTTCTAAATATCTTAAAATGCAAGATTGACTGAGCTTCTTCCAAAGGAAATTCAATTTTACTGACCATAACCCACCCCAATCCTGAATATTATAGACATCTATCTGTATGAAAACTGGAATGGTCATTCTCTTTTTTTACTTCCTCTAACAGGCCCAGAGTGGCTGGGAGTCACATGGCAGTGTCTGACTATCCAAGATAAGGTGCAAGCTTGCTCCCATCCCCAAACTCCTTATAGCCTCTCCCAGTACCACCTTTCTCTAGTCCAGAATGTTATTAGCAGGCTGACTGCCAAATGGGTTGGAGGTAGATTCCAGGTACAAAGAGAGGTGACAGTTTTCTGCTTCAAGCTACAAATCATTGGTCTGTACTGCTTTTGTTTTTTGGTACTAGGGATTGAACCCAAGGGCACTTAAACACATCCCCAGCCCTTTTTTATATTTTATTTACAGACAGGGTCTCCCTAAATTTTTGAGACTGGCTTTGAACCTGCAATCTTCCTGCCTCAGCCTCCCAAGCCACTGGACAGGTGTGTGCCACTGCAACTGGCTAAAGCTACATATAATTGAAGATGAGGAGCGAAGGCCATTTTCTCTTTTCTTTCATTTACTCATTCTTGGTAGTGCAGAGGAATTGAACCCAGGACCTTGTACATGTTAGGCATACACTCTACTACTAAATTGTCCACCCAGACCTACTATTTTCAAAAAGCTGTTAACAAACAGAGCTAGCACAGATGCCAAAGGATCCAGAGTCTGGCAGTTTCTCTGAAATTAAGAGATGAGCCCAAATAAGCTACTCAGCTCCCTTAAAAAACACACCTCTGATCTCCCCATGGTATACCTGGCCCAGAGTCCTGACAGGAGAGCCAAGTTGTTCAGAGAGCTAGCAGTCATGAACTGCTTTACCCCTTCACTTTCCCTCTTTTGATAAGGGCAGCAAGGCTGTCACAGACCTCCCAGACTTACTCCCTGGCTCTCCTCAGATTGTGTCTAATTAGCTCATTTCCTGAGAGCAGCAAAGACTCAAAGACAGGGCCAGTATGCTGGGAAAGCGCGGTTCTCACCGGGAAGGGCCGCTTCTGCTCTGCTATGTGTTTCTGCCTATAAAACCCACAGAATCTTGAGTAAGACCCTGGAGGTCATCTAGCCCTCATTTTAATAAGTGAAAAAATGTGAGGTCTACAATGAAGCAACTTGCAATTCAATTTAGTTTTAATTCAGCTAATATTTATTGATTATTGTATAGGGATCAGTATGCTGTAGTTCTGAATAAGGATAAAAAGCACTTCTGGCACTAGTAGCCAAATAGGGATATAACAGATATGCACACACATACATTTAAAAAATCATTTTCTTCATGGTTTCCGGGTTTCTCCTTGGTTTAGGGACACTTTCCCTACTCGGAGGTTATAAAACATACCCTCCAATGTTTTCTCGTAATGTTTTACAGATTGAGTTTTTGTTATTTAAATAATACTTTTACCAAAAACAATTCCTGGGGAAAATCCATACACGTATGTAAATATATACTATATTAATATAAAATATTTAATATATCTAAATATATATTTATATATTTCATGGGAAGTATGTATAATATATATGTGTGTATATACATACATAGTATAAAATTCAAAAGAAAGGCTATATAGCCAAAAGCAAGCCCCTCGTCTGTGCCCTAGCTGTTCAGCTCTTCTCCCTAAAAGGCATCACACCGACTTTACTGCATCCTTCCAAAGATATTCTGCATACAGATTTATTCTGACACAAGTCAAAGAATGTGATTCATGTGCCAGAGAGGAAAAGCTGAGAGCAGAAGAGATTGCATCCCATGTGGGGAAACTCACAGTGGCTCTGGGAGGAAGTGGCACCTCAGACAGGCTTTCATTTCATCAGGAAGAGAGGTGGCAGTTTGAAGTGGGAAAATGTGTGTTAAACCCTACATGAGGTGGACCAGAGGCAGCAGAGTCTCTTTACAGTATAGAAACCTTATATACTAAATAAATTCAGTACGCAAACTCTTTTATGTTTATCCATGAAGGTCCCACAAAGAAAATATGCATGTCAGGGCCAGTGTCATAAGATGTTTGCTATCCCAGGTTCAAGGAAGAAGAAAAAAATTAGAAAGGTCAGAAATAAACAAGGACAAGGGCATTTTAAGACACCACAAGCACACATGGTTCTTTTGCCCAAAGAGCAGAGTGGGAGAGTCTAGCTGGAGTGGACCCCTTCAGTGATACCTGGGATTAACAGAAAAGGGAAAAACATCAAGGAAGAGCAAAACCCACACAGCAAATAAATCAGCGGCTTCAAAAGCCACCACTATCCTGGGTCGGAGGCTAACAATCTGTATATTGGGTTCTCTCTGATGCTCAAGTCCACAGAAGGAATTCAAGTTCCTTGACCCCAATAGGACAATGAACTCATCTGATATGGCAATGCCCATAATTTTTAAAAGAGAGGGAGAAAGCCAGGTATTAGAGAAAAGAAAAGGGAAAAGAAAAACAACAACAAAAACTTCTCTTCCTAGCTTCCTCTTTGCATTTCACTGTTCCCACAGGCACTTGGGCCCCCTGGGTGCACAGGGAGAGGGGAGACAATCCCTCAGGGTGCCTGGCACACAACAGACATTCAGGGAGAGTCCATCCAGTCAACTGTGAAGATGCAGATGGGAGAGAAGCAAGATAACCTGGCCAGACTTCCACCTAAGAATCACCTCAGCCTAACACCCTTCTCACAGGCCTCATCTGCCCTTCTGTGTTGTGCTTTTGTTGTTTCAGGGCCCAGTCTTCCAGGAGGAAGAGGCCAAACAAAACAAAGTTTTATAACATTCCATAACAAGCATAGTAAAACAAGCTCCAGGAAAGGCCGTGGGGTCAAAGTGTTAAGTTTAACAAAGGAACAAATACTCCGGTCCCTTCAAAACAAGATGTGGGGAGTATGCACTCCCAGAGCCTCTGAAAAATCTGATGTCTAGTGCACTTTCAGAAGACTCAACAAAAGAGGTTTCTGGCTGCTAGACATCATCAAGAAAACACTAGAGTCCTAAACAGGAACTGAGGACTTCAGAAAATGTATTGGGTCAAGTGTTCACTCACAGGTCTGAGATGCGTAGTTTTAGACAAAAGCATGGGTGTATTAGCATTTAGGACACAGGGGAACACAGAGAAATAGGTGTTTAATGAAGATACTGAAAGAAAGGAGGGCCAGAGAAAAGCTTTCCTAAGAATTCATGGAAGGAGTTCTTCCAAACCCTAACTCCCCAAACTGCAGATTTGTAAATGTCCCTGCTGGGTTTTAAATCCATCAAACAAGAAAGAGTGGGTCTTGGGCTGGGGCTCAGGGGTAGGGCGCCCACTGTGCATGTGAGGCCCTGGGTCCAATCCTCAGCACCATATAAAAATAAATAAAGATATTGTGTCCATCTTCAATTAAAAAAAAAAAAAAAAAGAAAGAAAGAAGAGAAAAGAAAGATGGGTCTTCTCCACCCAAACCCTAGGAAGGCTGTACAGGTTAAGTGTGGCAGAACCACATACCCACCAAGAGCTTAAGATCTAAAGAGGACACACACACACACACACACACACACACACACACACACACACTACTGCCAACTCTAAGGTAAATCAATGATTTGACATAAGTGCTTGAGTGTGAGCTTCTCTATTAGCACAGGGTGTCCTTCCAGGCAAACAATCTTAC